GTATTTTGTAAAGCTCATATGTGTGTTTGAAGCCAAAACCTCCCTTCGTTTGTGCGAACATAAGTTAGCTGCAGCAGGGATAGTGAAAGGCAAACTCAGTCTTAAATGTTTTAATTTACTGCTAATTTAAACATTTGAGCATAATGTTCTTTGAGATGCTTATGAGCAAAACCCCAGTTGTGCTGCCAGCTCTGAGGAGCTTTCACTGCCTCTGCTTCTCTTGCTTCTCCTAGGTTTTATATCTCCTGTAACATGAGAATGGGGTGCACAGCGGGCGCACCTGGAGCTCTCTGCACCTAGAGCATCACTGTGCTGGTGTTTCGGTCCCAGCAGAGCAGACGGGGTTTGTGGTGCTAGGAGAACACTAGCTCAGCCTTTGTCTGCTGCCCTGCCCCAGCTGGCACCAGCCACGGCCCTGCAAGGGCTGCAGCTCCTCTGCAGGGCTGGAGGGATGCGGCACACACAAGCGGTGCCAGCAGTGGAGTGGGTGTCAGGGATGAACCCAGGCTGACACTTGTGCCTGTCATAGGTGTGATGCTTCCAGCCCTTCCCGGACACCCGGCCGGCTGCAGGGATGTGCTCCCGGCTGTGTCACCTCTTTGGGGGAAAAGTGGGGACAGGGTTACCTTCCCCGTGCTGGGAAACAACATGTTGTCACGGGGCAGACAAGCACATGGGGCTCCGCAGCTGGAGGGATGCTGGATTGCCCCTGCAGCCCGCTGGGAAGAGGCACCCCTGGGCGAGAGGACACGCATGTCCTGCTCCGGGCTTCCTTCAGTTGGGGCTTTCTAATGTTAAAGTGCATAAACCACAGGCATGCAAACCCAGGAATGAAGTTCAAAAGGCCACTGGCAGCTTTAGATGTGTGGAGTCGTAGTAAAGCTGCTGCAGTAAAGCCAGGCTTAGGGTGGAACGAAACAATTCCACGGAAGCCGGGTAGCTACCACCCAAATGTGCCCTTCCTCAGCGGGGATGTTGGGAAGCGTGCTTTGCCCAAGCACGGGGCAGAGCCTGGCAGCCGTGTAGCCCTTCTGCCTTCTGATTTGCAGCGATGCAAGCGCGAGGTGAGAGTCAGGCCCGATAGCACCACTTCACGATGTTCTTCTCCCTTCTCCCGTCGCATCGCTGCTGACGGAAGATCGGGAGAAGTGCCACATTGTAGATTCATAGGCTCACACTGACATATCATGAGGAGCAGAGAAAGGATCAATTGCAAAAAAACCTCGAACTGGCTCCAAGTGGCTGAATTCTGCTGTTTTCTCAGGGCGTGTTTGCCAAGCAGCTGGTGTTTTGTGCCAATTGCTATTACAGAAGAGCTTTCTTTGATAGGTATCGTGAATGGACACTATGCGGTTTATTTTAAAACAAAATCCCTCCCCACAGCTTGTATGGGCTGGCAGGGGATGAGGGAGTGAAAAAGTTGGGCTTTGTTGTTTTTTTTTTTATGCAGGACTATGAAAGCACATTTGGGGGAGCCTGCATTATCTGTGCAAAAACACAGCAGATGAATTCTATTAATGGATGTAACATGTGGCTGGGTTCAAGCTAGAGTTGTCATTTGAATATAGAAGTCAAAGCCAATTTATTGTAACATATTTTTCTTTTCAAAATATTTTAAGAAAGACAAAAAAGTTTGCGCAACAACTTGGCAAGCAGGTCTGTTGAGAGGAGGTATTTTCTATCTCGCAGCTAACATAAGGGCTGAAAAATGTGGCAGTGCCGAGCAATCCTGAATTCCTTCTGGAACTGAAAGAAAGTGTGAGGGATATAATTGTGTAAGAGTCCAATAAATTTTGAAGGGTGGGTTTGTAACACTGCCTTGGGGGCTGCAGGTGGCTCCAGAAGAAAGTCATGGTTTTCATTTCAGTAACAGACGTCAAATACTTCATCTAGCTAGCTACGCACTCATGTGGCCTCATCTAAAAGCCACAGAATTATTTTAAAATAGAAATTCCCATAACAATCATTGTGTTTCTTCCATGCCAGATGGTAGAAAGATAAGTTGGATTAGTTTGTAGTGTGTATGTGTGTGTGTGTATGTGTTATTGCGGGGGGGGGGGCGGTGGTGCAAAAGCTAAGGCACAGAAATGAGCTTTCCTGGAGTTTCCAAAGCGATGAGCATCAGTGCTGCATGGTCTTCAGGGCATGGGTAGGCTCCACCTGGCCTGTCCTTGCTTCACTGTTGGTTAGTCTGTATTTCCCTGGATGCCATGGGAGGCAACGTCCATGGAGCAGAGCTTTACCTAGGTAGTAGACCAGACCTTGGGACTACACCTCGGTGTTGAGAGAAGCGCTGCATAACAGGGAGCATCAGACTCCAGCTGGGGATTCCTGTGTCGTGGGGTAAATACGCTGCTGCATATTAGGTTATATAGAATTAAGTGGTTTGGTTCCGGTGGCGAATTGCGATAAAGTGCAGTCAGAAAACTGATATTTCTCATGACTGTTGTGACCTCTCCAGTGTCTCTTATTTTCTTTGTAGCTGGGCAGCTAAGGGATACCTGACTATCAAGTGATCTGACATAGGCTGAGTATTTTTGTGGAGTAACATATTTTTGTATATGAACTGAGAAAAATATTTCCTACATTTGGTAAAGGTCCAAGTACCAAGCACTGGTGGAGCAAGTAGACAGAAAACGTATTGCTGCCAAGGGAAACCATGGGTTAAAGAAAATGAGCAGCATATTGTCATCCCATGTTCATTCTCATTGTGTATGTTCATGGACTGAGTCTCCAAGTACCTGCCCCAATGCCCCCCTGAGATGAGTTTTTGCCATCCTTTCCTCATGAAGCTGCACACGAGGAAGAAGAAGCGGAGCTAGATCCATCACAAAGACGAGAGAGACTCTAAAGCCCTCTTCAAAGTCCTGCCCAGTTGCACATTAGTTACAACCAAGTTACAACCAAGGAATTTGATGAACTCTAAGCCTATTTAATCCTGCCGCTAATGTGAGACAATTAGCAGTCTCTCAGAAATTGCTCATGTCAGGAAGAAGATGAGATGAATGAAAGCAGCACTGCTCACCCCACTGCTAATTACCCATTTACCACTTCTACCACTTCTAGCAATGAGTCTGTAACTTCTTGCTGCTGCTTGTCAGATGGTAGGAACCAGCAGATGCCAAGCTTGTTCCCTTGTGGTCAAACAAACTGCCATACAGCCCCCTGAAAGATCCCCAGGATGGCTCCCTTACTTCTGCTAACATTTCCGAAGTTCCTGGTACAACACTGAGGTTTTCCACTGGAACCACCTGGCATGTTTTCAGAGTCTTCCATGAGTGATGGAGCTACTCAATCACCTCCTTATTTTGTCAAAGCCTTTGTATCAGTCACTTGTCCTGAAAGTGTGTAAGCTGTGTCCCATACTTGAGCTAATTGCATGAAAAGGATTATTTCCTTTTCTTGATGCTTGTTATTATTTTCATCCTTCACGAGCCATTTCTTCTGTTTCAGGATCAACACTCTGTGGTAGGCCAGGGAGCTGGCCCCACTCCAAACTCCAGTTCTTGCTCAAATCCAAACACTGGAAGTGGTTACATGAACTCATCCCAGCAATCAATGTTGAATCAGCAACTGATGGAAAAGAAACAGGCTCTGCAACGGCAAATGATGGAGCAAAAACAACTTCTTCTACAGCAGCAGATGTTGGCAGAAGCCGTAAGTTTTCTAATTTCCTGTTTTACATGGAAAAGATTATCATAGAAACAATAGAAAAGAAAGCTAAGACAGGGGGAAGAAAGCCCCCAGAACTTCAAGGTCATTTTGGCAATGCCTAGACCTTCTAGAGTGTGCCTCGTATTTTTCAGTACTTTGTTAAGCCCTTTTGAAACCTTCTTCAGTTTATATAAAACAACTCAAGTATCTGAGCTACTATGGTTTCATTATGAGACCAGCCCAAGCATATGCTTAATTTGAGGTATACGAATATTGTCAGTGGTTTTCTTTGCAAGATAAGCTGAGGTGCACTGCTACTCTACTTTGACCACAGAGGAAAGCTGACTTCCAGTCAACCTCAAGTTGACTTCCATGCTGCAACCTAGGCAGCATGGTATAAAGTGCGTGTGTGTAAACAAGGATCAGGTACATCGATTCTAGTGTTCAACACAAGTTTGTGTGCTGGGCTGGGATCGTACATGAGTACTCCTTTCTCTGTTTTTCCTTTTTCATTTCCAATTATTTGTAGCCGTATCTCTCCCCCTTGGTATCTGAGAGACCAATGGAGAGTTGCTAGTCATTTTATGAGGCACAGGCGATATCTGTGTCTTCTTGGCAGCAATAGTGCTAGAACCCAGTGATTTTGTTTCACTAAACTGGCATTGCCATTGACTTTGCACGAACTGAGTCAGCTGAATGTACTTCATGATCTATTACCCATGGCCAGTGCAATGTGAGGGAGTCCCAGCTTCCCAAAGCAGTAGCATATGCCCTCTGCATCCTCATATTTATGGTTCTTTGGTAGTCCTGCTTGCCAAAGCACGGACAATACAGAAGTCCTAGAAGAGAAGCTGAGCTTGGCATGTCCTTAGGGCAGGCAAAAAGCAACACAGGTGCCTTGCAGCAACTAGGGAGGGGCTGCAGGGAGGATGCTGGGAAAGGATGGAGGTGACACCACCACCTGCTTTAGACCCCAGTCTGCAATGACAGCAGACCCTGAGCCTATGGCTTATTTGCGGCCTTTCAATACTTGAAGGGGTCTTATAAGAAAGATGGGGACAGATATTTTAGTAGGACCTGTAGCGATAGGACAAGGGGTAATGGTTTTAAACTAAAAGAGGGTAGGTTTAGACTAGATATAAAGAAGAAATTCTTTACAAGGCTGGTGAAACACTGGAACAGGTTGCCCAGAGAGGTGTTAGATGCCCCATCCCTGGAAACATTCAAGGTCAGGTTGGACGGGGCTCTGAGCAACCTGATCTAGTTGAAGGTGTCCCTACTCACTGCAGGGGAGTTGGACTAGATGACCGTTAAATGTTCCTTCCAACTCAAACCATTCTATGATTTACCTCAACCTGCCTCTCTCTCAGAACAGCCTACAGGGCAGACCCATTCATGCTGGCCTGACATTTTAAATCCAAAACTTTCCTCTCTCTACAGAGACTTAGACTCAGAAATACTGACACATTTAGTGAATGCCGTTCAGTAATTAAAGAACAACACAGAACTGGAAAAACATTCATGGTTTTGTGGGGATGTTTTCAAAACAAAAATGATTCAGTTTTTTTATAGGGAATATCTTTTTGTTTACGAATTTATTTCCCTTCCAAAAATACAATTAGAAAGCTTGAGTTTGAAATTAAGGATTTCATTTGTCCTATGAGGGAAATATTTGTTGAGTTTTTAATTTATGCAGAAGAAAACTGAAGTTTCAAGTCAGCTCAAAACGCTGCAGTTTTCTATCAGAATTTTTAGCAAAAAGAAAAGTTAGCTGCTCATATAGCTCTTCTTAAAATAAGCAAAATAGAAATTAAAATCACTCTACAGAATGCATTTTTTTATCACCTTGCATTTGCTTTTTGTTTCGTGCACATAGAAATACACATAAAACCTGCCTGCAGTTTTCACATGTATTGCAGGGATTTCCTGGGAGTTGATTTGCCTTTATTCTTCACCAAGGTTGAGGTTAAGCAATTTGATAAAAAGAGCCTTATAAATCTTAATCAGAGCCTTCTTTCTCAGAGTGCATTATGGAAATGCCTAAATATCACAAGAAAGGTTCTTCTCCCAGTGTTTAAAAGAGCTCTTTGCAGAAAAAAAACCCAGATTTTTCACAAGGTCTGTTTGCATGCTGTTTTCAGGCAGAAGATCCCTAAATTATTGTAATGGACACCCAACACCAGCCAGGGTCTGACTCTTTTTCACACTGACAAGCCAGTTTGCCATTCTAGGAGCCGAGCACGAAACCCAGGCGTGTTGCAGAGAAGCCCAGCAGCTGCCCAGTAAGCACGACCCTAGGAGGCACGTGGGCACCATTAGTGACTTACCAGTGGCTGAGGTGGTGAAACTCACGTTTTCCTGCCGTGGGGCCACGCAAGGAGTCATTGCTTGTGGGCAGGTAGTAACACTCTGGAGACATCAAGTCACAGTGGTGCTGATGAGAGATTTGCCACTAGCTCCCGTGCCTGCGCTTTCCAGGTCTTTATGAGTACAGGGCAACTAGTCAGATTTCAGTTCAAGAAGTCGGATTTCTGTCTTCCAGACAGAAATGTGTCCCTGCGGGCCCAAAATAAAAAAAAATCTCCCCTACTAATGGGCTTTTTCTGCAGTCTTTCCCCGCTGTCCTTCCCCCAGTGCTTGCACTCCAAGCAGCACCACATACGTGTATGGGGAAGCACAGGGCAATGGTGAGTGGTTTGAAAACCAACCAGCCCAGCACCACCCTTGCTAAACCCTGGCCGTGTGTCCCACTGGCATCCCTGGTGTGGAGAGGCACAGGGGAGGACAAAGCAATGGGTTTTGCTGTTTTTTGTGGGAGCTCCTCCAGGGTAGGAAGAAGGATAGAGTAAGGGATGGGCATGGCCGGGGTTGGGGATGACAAGGTGAAATGCTCTGTGCCAGCTGTGCATGCTGAGATGTCAGCATGAGTGAGATGGTTTGATGAACATTGATGCAGCCAAGGGACAGGTGTGGACCTTGCAGGTCCGGATCCTGGTTTTCCCCAGCTGAGTCCCAGCTGTGTGTTTGGGTTAGACCTGGGTGTTTTCTCTCTCTCTGTGCTTTCTCTGAGAGCAAACTCAGCTGCATAGACAGGGAGGGAACCATGAGGAACCATCAGGCCCCCCTGTCTGATAAGCATGGTAAGCAAGACGGCGCAGACGTCGGAGAAGACTTTGTACTGCAGTGCACATGTGGCCGATATTCTTAGAGGATGAGAAACTCTCAGTGGTTTTACAGAAAGTTAGACCAGACTCAAACACAATACAATCACATAGACTTCAGTGGGTGATTGCACAGGCTGACAGACGCCTCTCCTGTGGACCAGAGTGAAAGGAACACTTCCGCTTTGTACATACCGAGAAAAGAAAGAGGTGGGCAAAACACAGAGCCAGAAAAACATTAAGAAAACCAGACTAATATATTTCTGCTCTAATCCTCTAGGAGAAAATAACTCCACAAGACCAGCTGAACAGACACTTGACACGACCACCACCAGATTATAAAGACCAAAGAAGGAACGTGGTCAACATGCAACAAGCAAACCAATATCCTGGTAAGTACCCATGAGTACGCATGGGCTAAATGAAACTGTTTCCTTCCTTCCTTGTTTCCTTCCTTCCTTCCTTGTTTCCTTCCTCCCTCCCTCCTCCCTCCTTCCTTCCTTCCTTCCTTCCTTCCTTCCTTCCTTCCTTCCTGCTAGAAGACCATCCAGAAAAGCCATACGTGCACTGATGGCCGAGGCCTGATTTTCTGGGTATTCACTTCCATCACCACAGCGGCAGTGGGTGCTGGCGGCCGCTCTCCTGTGCTATTCACCTTACTGTCCTCCATCACTGAGAAGTGCTGACGTATGATCCGGAGAACCAGCTGTTGGTTCAGCATCCCTCAGACATGGGGAAGGAGGGGCTGGTACCCCTCCCATTAGCACTGTCTGGGGCAGATGTGCATCTTGATAACAGAGGTGTCCTCTTGACTATTCAACCTCAGTCCATCCAGATGCTTCTCACAAGTACGTGGTACATCTTGCTTCAGAGACTGAGATGAGAACCATCCCTCCCTTTGAACAGCAGATCATGTACACCATGAGGACCCTCGTACTGATTTTTAAGTACCTTGCATGACTCCATCATGGGCAGCCAGAGCTACCGTCTGAACTTTTGGTCTGTTTAATATGCCACGGCCATGGCCTCAGTGCTGCTCTACAAGCAGTGGTTCAACAGATCAAGCAGTAGGGTGAAAGTGTCACCAACAATCCGGACAGAAACTCTTGAACACAGTTTGCAGTGTTGGAAAGCAGCATTACTTTATTGTGGTGCCGGGTGCACGGGGGATATCTCCTCCTAGCATGCACACCTGGCCCCGGGACAGAAACTTAGTTATACACTACGATCATGCATATTCATAACACGTTTACATATTCATTGTTATTCTCTTAAACAATTGGTTAATTTTCTCTCACTTTACATGTAAATTACTTCGCATGCTCAGTTCTCTTCCTTCGCCCCTTTCTTTTGGGTCTGGGGTATGTTTAGGGCAGGTCGTCCATGAGTCGGTGGTTGTGATCTCCCCCTGCCGGAATTAACTTTTCCCCAAGTCACTGCTGCGCATGTTCACAGTTCAGAAAAACATGAGAACAAAGTTTATACATTTTCTGGGATGTTCCCTTCAAGGGCAGACAGTTCTGATAAGGAGTCTCCCTTCTAACCATCTCTGGCAGCTTCAAGGATTGTTGTCTTGTTATGTTCCTTAGGTATGTGTACTAAACACTTCATGAAATTCTTACACAAAAATTTTAACCCCTTCATTGTTGGATAACAAAAGTCCCTGCTTTCAGCCAGAACTGCCTAGGGCAGAAAATGCCTAAAACTTCAGGACTAGTCCTTGGTTTCAGCTCTTATGCCCTCGCCTCCTTGGAGAGTCTAGTTTTGGGAGCACAGGACTGCCTGTTTGGCTTTTCACGTTGTTCACGTGGCTGTTAGCTGGAGGCTGCTCCAGCAGAGGAGCAAAGGCAGAGTAAGGAAAAGATGCTGGGGAGAGAAAGAAGTTGGGGAGAAATCCAGCAGATGGGATCAAAGGATGTTCTTTATAGTACAAAGCGTCTGTGCATTTAAGTATAAAAAGGATCCTTTGCCTTCTAGTATATCTTCGTATACAACACTGAGGAAAAAAAGGATGTTTTGTTTAGTTTGTTTTTCCATAACTGTTGACTTTGCAGATTCATCCAAGGATCTGAGTCTTTCCTTCCTACTTGTTCTTTGTAGCAAAACTTTTTCAGCTTCTGTTATGTTTTTAATGGGTTCCCAGGTGCAGCTCGCTCACGTGCCAGCCCTCTGCCCAACCTGCTTGCCATGGCACTAGCAGCCCAGCTACGCATGGAAGGGACAGGCTGGGCTGCTCAGGCAACGTTCATGCACTCCTTTGCTTTGTTTACAAGTTCTAGCAGTGATAAACTTGCTGAAGTCTGGAAACTGCTGCTTTCTAATGGTCCTGAGTGTTTATCATCTTCACTAAATTTGCACAAGCATCACTGATGTCAACATACTGACCCGTGGCGAGGGCAGTGGCACAGGGCAGAGACAGCCCTGCTTGCTGGCTTGGTACCTCCTACACTCACAAAACAAATGCTTTGGCAACCCCAGCAGTTTGCTGGGGAATCCTGTGATTTGGTGTGTTGTTTAAAGGCTCGTTCCTGGAATTACATGATTAACTGAGATTCTTGGCTTTTACTTAAGAACAATCCATTTCTAGCCCAAGAGAGAAAATGGAAATGACTGCAGCCACATCTATGAAAGACTCCAAAATAAGTAGATCACCATTGTTACGCGGCTCTTCTTGTTGTTCTTAATCTGATGGACTTTTTGCCAGTCTCGTGGTATTTGGAGTCCCATCTCCTAGGTTTGAAACATGTGGGATTGGCAGCACTTGTCCATTCAACTCTGAAGTCCCCACTGAGTGAGCCCAGGGAGAAGAGCAGATTTTGAGGCAAGCCTGGGAGAAAGGGCTGTGCTGGGAGCTCGCAGCAAACCAGATGGAGCGATTAGGAAACTCTTGCATAAGGGAGTAACAGCAGGGAATCTGTTCCCTTTTTCCGGGAATAGCTTTGCTCAGGTCAGGGAAGAAGAGACAAAAAGTTAAATAAAATAACGCAGGGGCTTGGAGACATACGGTTAAGTATTTTATTCCTCTATACTTTTCCACATAGTGCCATGTCATGGCAAGAAACCTCTAAGTCAAGAGCAGGTGAATCGGGCAGTGAAGGCGTTTCTCTGAATGGCCGCAGCCTGGCGTGCCCAGCTGCTGTACGCAGCGCTGGAGGGGAACAAGTTTCTTCCCATCTGGAAGAAATCAGAACGGAAAATATTTGCGTTAAAAATAAAAGGATAAAAATAGCAATGCAACGAAAGAGGAAGCTTCATCTTTTGCACAAGTACACCCCATGTCCCAACCACTTGTGCTCTCTAAAGAGCGTGGCATTTGCAGGAGCAGGGGGATGGCAGCCCTGAGGGCTGCGCAACAGCCGGCGAGGTCACCGCAGGAAGGGCTTCATCCCAGCAGCAAGTGGAGTGACTCCACAAACTTGTAGTTCGTCTGGAGAGAGAGAACCAGCTCTCCCCAGATGGCTGTTCCAGGTTTTTTGAAATGCCACCGATTTCTGTGCCTTTCCTCCTCTTTAGTACCAGTATAAGGAAGCAAAGAACCAGAGCCACCATCTCTATCACCCCTGCAAAAAGACATTACAGTATTTCCAAAAAGCAGTGAGCAATGCACAACCCACGAGCACAGCTAAAGACGAGGCTAATCGTGAGGTTGCCTGCTGAGCACTGATTTTCTCCTCTTTGTTTCTAGAGCTAAATTAATTTAGGTGGCTCACTGGGAGCACATGGAGGAGAATCTGATGGTCTCTGTGGGGGTAAAACCAGGTGGATTCCTCATAGCACCTCCTGACTGCCCTGCTCCAGGACTGAATTTAGATGCCAAGTTAGGACAACCTAATTGTTAGGACAATTAGATTTTTACAGTTAAGCATCTCCTGCTTGGAGCCAGTATGTAGAAGAGTCCTGCCTTCCAGAATAAGGTGAGCTTCTTAATTTAGGTATCTATGTTTATGTTGATTTGGAACAAGCAACTCTGGTTCTGGAGTCATGCTTAATGTTAACAATGATTTTGGAAGAGATTACTTTTAAATACTTAAGGAAAAAAGGAATCCTTTGCATCCATTACTAAATGGAAATAGCATATGTATAAAAATAATGCAGAAATGGCTGAAATATATGGTAATTTTTTCTTCAGTTCTAGTCTGAGGGAACTGAATGTCATTATGGTGAATTTTCAACAAGAAGAGTATATTAAACAGCTGTTCCTAAACATAGGCTTTTTAAATATGTATGTGCATGATTTGTCTTCAAGAGTTTTAAAAGAGCTGGCTGAGAGGTTCTCCAAATTCTTAATGTCATGTTTCATTTAGTCTTGATACTCCAAGGAAGACTGCTAATGCCATGACAAAAATTCAAAGAGTAAGTAGGTAATTGCAGCCCTAGTGACCTAAGGCAGAGCTCAGCAAAAATCTGGGGAGCTGATACAGCCTGAATAATGAAGAATTTAGGAAGGGAATGTAATTAATGTCAGGCATCATGGGCTGATGTAAAAGAATCTTTTCAAAATAGCATAGTGTTTTTTTCAATGAAACCACAACTTTCATTGATAAAGCTAATAGTTGTTCAGGTAATGTCCTGTAAAACATCTGTCTTGGTACTGCCTATTTTGGTTAAGAAACCAGTGGTACAAAATTAACATAGTACTTTCTTAAGGAAATGGCTGATAGGTCTCCAGATATCACTTTAAACAGGCTATGTGATTGCAACCGAAAGGACAAACACGGTCTGAGATGATGCTGAATAAGAAAAAAAGAATTTGCTTTATATCCATGTTGGAGACGTGCAAGAGCTATTTCTATGACTAGCTGTGATGCACAGCATTGAAATCAAACGTTGAAAATTGTCGAGTTCTGAAAAGAGCTTAGAAGGACCAAAGAACCAGAAAACGGGCCACAGACTGAGACTGATGTATTTGGAGAACGCTGCAGGCATAACAGTCTTGAAGCACCTGTGCAGTAAGAAGGAACTGATGACGGATCAACCAATAAAATTAATCACACAAACTAATATATAATAAGATTTGATGACGAAGTCAAAGTTAGTCAAATTGAGTCTGGTTTTGTTGTATGTCTGAAGGATCAAACCAAAGTGATGTCCCGTGGCCAGCAATTGCTACTAATTGGTACCTATGAAATAGCAAAGCTCCAGGGCTGTATGTTCCTCCATTCCTTTGGAAGCGGCTCAGGGAATTCCTGAAATGTGATGGTACCTTGGTAGTGAGCCCATTCAATAGCTTTTCTCACACTTCAGAAGTCACCCAAAGTGGTACAAGAATTTAGCTTGTACTGTGCCATGTGGCAAAGATTTCCTCGGCTGACCCATACGTTGTGGGAAGAAACATCTCCTTTTGTTTGCCTTGAACCTGACTTCTAGCTGCACTTCTTGTAGGGCTTGTCCTGGAAGCTACAGTAGCGAAGGGAATTAAGCTATGGAGTAGCTGGTTGTGAACAGAGGGGTGTTCTCCACAGTGCCATCTACGCTGGCTGTGTTTAGAAAACATTTGGTGTTCTTCAACCAATCTCTCAGGGATTAATTCAGAGCCTTGCATTGCGAAAGCAAGCAGCCTGCGTTGCATAAGTGACTTACTGTGGCCTCAAAATAGAGACTATGTAGCTGCAAACCTGCCACAGAAGCGAGCTTGTGTCAAGGTTTAGAGGCTGAAGAGAAGAGAAACCTCTCTTCCTGTGGTTCACTGGAAGATGTCAGGTACAGGAAAATCCTCCCCTGGGCAGAATTAGCCACGGATGGTAGATTCATGCCAACTCATAACTTCTAGTTTTCTGATGCACGAAAGGTGACGTTCATGTGCAGCAGTCGGCACATCAGGTATCATGTGTGGCTCCCTCATGGGCGAGTCAGATCCTGCAGGGGCAAATGGCCGTAGCCCAGCTGGGAATAGAGCTTATAAGTGGCACATGGGAGGCACTCGCCAGGTACAGCACCGAGCCAAGTCTTGGTACCTGCTTGGCCACCACGTGGGAGGACAAGCAGGTGACAGACTGGGGTGAGCTCCTCTGCCAGCACCTGGCTGGGAGGGAGGCTCTGAGTGCTGCAAAGGTGTGAGAGGCAGTCTTGGCTCCTGTTGTCACCTAGGACAGGTCTTTCCAGAAAGATTGATACCACTGCTGTAGGTATCTGAGAAAGGTGGAAAAGGCCTGGTGATGGTGCCTGTCACTCCCCATTGCCTCTAGAGGGAGCCAGGATGAGCCATGCCCTGTACGGAAGAAAAGTTACTGATCTCCTCTGCCTCTGATCACTTAGACAGGCTTTGTTCTGTCTGAAGTATCTAGCACTTCTGCAAAAGAAAGCAGAAAAGGCTTCTCTCCTACCCAGTGGTTCTGTCTGTCCTTCCCTGCTCCCGTATTTCTCTTACAATGAGCACCAGTTTTGGCTGGTGAAAGGATGGAAAGACCACCAATGGCTTCATATAGACCAAACCATCCTTTGGATGATTGGCATCTTTAAGGCCTTGAGCAACTTCCTGTAAGTCTTCCTAAAAGCAAAGTATCTTCTTCAAGAAATCCTGCTGCTAGAAAACTGGATTTTTAACCTGTTGGTATTTGAATGACACCATGTATTGATGCACTCATGTTTGTTTTAACACTTTTGTGTTTTCTCCTTTCCAGGTGGTTCACCAGCTGTGAGTATGAGCTCCAACAATATGTCCTTATCCAACCCAATTTCAACTCATAGCATCATGCCCCAGAGCTCCAGCCTCATGTCCACCCCTGCTGGGACCCGAATGCCTTCTGTTCCTGCTGCTCGGAATATGGGCTGCTACGGGAACCTTCCTTGCAACCAACAAAGTGCATACAACGTGACTTCAGGAATGAATCAAATGCAGCCACACAGAAACCAAAATCAAGTCCTGCCCAGTCAGAATAACCCCATGATGTCTCGACAGCAAACTATGACACAGGGGAACAACGTGGCGGCTTTTGGGACGGGGTCGGTGGTCAACTCGCAGCAAGCAAGGCCAAGCTTGAACCATGGAGCCACTGGTATCCCTGCGCAAAGGCCAGCCCATGTGATGATCACGGCTACTGCCACTGCCCAGAACTGGGCCCCACAAGAAGCTGCAGTGAAGCAGCAGGACGCACTGAAACCCACAGGAGTCCGTTTCCCCACAGGCACTCCATATCCCAACCAGTCTTTGCAACGCAACATAGGCAACCAGCATTTCCCTCAGCGCGCATTGGCACCTCCTAATCAGTTAACGGCAGGAGTCCAAATGAGGCCTCCTCCAAACCAAATGCACCAGACTCTAAATGGACAATCTGCTGGTTCACTACGAGGTCTCAGCATAAGACCTAACCAGCTGAGAGGACAGACTTTGCCTACCTTGAATCAGCCAGGAACAAGTATGACTCCTCCGTCGTCTCTGCCATCAACCAGTTTCACATCTACCAACCAAAACTCTCGGGCTTACCAAGGAAGTGACCATGGTAATGACCTAGCATTTGACTTTCTGAACCAGCAAGGTGACAGTATAGGACCTGCACTCAACAGTGACTCAGACTTTATAGATTCTTTACTGAAAACGGAACCTGGTAATGATGACTGGATGAAAGACATCAACCTCGATGAAATTTTGGGGAACCACTCATAAGTGACAGTACCAAGGGTGAACCAGATGAAGAGGCAGCAAGGACATAGCTTTCTCTTTAGATGCCAACAACCTGCTTTATTAATTTACACTCCAGTAACTGGGCTGTCCTTTAAAATGCCACACAGGGCAACTGCCCCATTTGAAGAGTTGCTCTAGGAACAAAATTGAAGACTCCCCTGATGAAATGATAACACAAGTGATATTCACGCCCACCAGAAAGGAGTGAGAACACATGAAGGGTCTGTTCCCCACACCGGTGCCCAGTGCGTTGCAAACCCATCAGTTCGTCTCACAGGGGCTGTGTGGAAAAACGTGTTTAGCTTCCCACACATGCAAGCACCAGACAGTGGCATGGGTTGTGGGACATCATTTCTCTGAGTGCAAACAAGAGCCCAAGTGGTTCAGAGCTCTTCAGCCGTCGTGTTCACAGCCCTTAACTTCCTCGGGACTACTCAGCCCTGACAGCATCAGGCCCTGTGTAAATCTCATTGTGTTACAAAAACTGTTTACTTCTATACAGTGCAAACTCATATTTACTTTCCCAATGATTGTGGTTTGAACCCTCTATGTTTTGTAGCACGCAAAAGGGTAAGTGGTCTCGTCCAAGGGAAGAAGGAAACAGATCATCCGGTGCATAACTCAGTGTGCTCCAGCATTCGCTTTATCTCACTGCTTGCAGCGAGTATCAGAGGAGGCCACTGTCCTGCCAGCAGCACAATCATTTTGGGCATTGAGGGAAACATGAGACAAACTACACCAAAGCTCAGGATCCTCACTTTGCCACCTTGCCCTACTCCAGGGACTCCAGTGACTTAATGGGCAACTTAAGTGAGAAAGGTGTTCATGACTTGACCCTCACCGACTACTTTCCCAGTCCAGCTTAGAGGAGGGCAAATACATGAGGTGGCTCAGCTAAGCCACTATCCCTGTTTCCATCTTAACCCACAACAAGTGTTAGGTAGTTCAGCCCAGTCCTGTTCTATCAAATAGGTTTAACCCAGCAGAAATGTCCGTCTCTGCCTGGGGAGAGGCTACCGTTTAGCTCCATCCCACTTTCCCTTTGCCACATGGGGGGAGCTGAAAGAGGTCCAGTGATGGCCCAGGTCCCTCAGTCTCCGTTGGGCAGAGTACAAGAGTGCTGCCCAAACTAGCATGTAGGTCAATTGTAACCACCTGGGTTACTCGCAATAGGAGGCTCCACTAAGTCACATCTGTGCTTGTAAATGAAGCAGTTTTGGGGAATATTTCTGGACAATGGACTCAATCGTCTGTTTTGGGATGGCCCAGCTAACACTGCCCTGAGCAATTTCTGTGCATCGAGGTAAGGGTACAGATTGTTCCACACCACTTGACCTCAGTGCCAGGGAATAGTCTTGACCGTGTTAAATTTTATCCTACGGACTTGGTCAGTAAGGGCATCAGAAGGAGGTGCTATGTGACTATAAAGTAGCTCCGCAGTGCATCAGGCAGGAAGATTCATAGATGGGAACAGATCTTGCAATTCAAATGAAAATGTTGTTCTTTAAAATGATGTGGTGAGACGTGTTTTACAGCCTCCTCTGAGTTAGTTAAAACTAGATACGGCAAAGGAATACAATGCCTACGTTCACATGTCTCAGTGCCAACAGGCACTGCTCTACCCCGTGCAAGGGCTTTATTCATCCTTGTTAGTGGCAGTGGGATGAGTAGACTACTTGACAATAGCCTCTGCACTTATCTGACCTATTTCTCAAGAGAGGTTTTAATAAGGGTTTTCCAGTCATTTCACCCTGTCGTTTTACGTGGGCACAATTTTTCATGATGTTTCAGGAAGCATCGTCACACACACAAGCACCAGCACCTCCAGGAAAGGTATAACATGAGCATTTAGCTAGATGTGCCAGTTGAGGTGGGTTGGTCCATGAGGCTGTTCATTCCCAAACATGGTTTTCGTAAGAGGGATGAGAAAGCCCGCTGCAGAGTCCCTTCTGCCGTCCCAGCTAGTGATCGTTGCGCATCCCTGCATTGTGTAACATGGTGGCTGAGCTGCCCAGAAAGCTCCCTCTTCTCCCCAGTTTTGGCTGGGGTGCATGTGGTCCTTTTGATATGCCAGTACAAATTATTCCAAGTCTTAAAAAAGCTTTTCAGTGTGGGTCACTGGTGCCCCACCTAAGTTTGGAGAGATATAGACACAGTCTAACAAGTAAGTCCCCTATAAATTGTGCAAAACTAGACTGAAATAGTAGCTACGTGAGTTTAAAAGTGGAGGAAAGATCATCTCCTCTGTCTCACACACAGGCACATGCCCCGTCCATGAGCAGTGAGGGCCAAAGCTCTGGTAGGAACAGACTGCGATGCCGCTAAGACCGAGGCTGAGTTAATCTCCTCATGAGCAACAGGTGCTGAAGTCTGGTAACTTCAACTACCCTCACATGCCATTGAAAAAGCCACCACTGGTTTCTTTATGAAGATCAGATTGTTTTCCAGATCCTCAAATGATGTAAAGACATTGTCCCAAGACTTCAGGATATCATCCGGTGGAGGATTCAGTGCTGAGCTTTGTCTTGTTGGCCTCAGCCTGGAGCGGAGAAGACACTGGGCTGTGAGTGCCATCCCCAGGATCCCAATTTCATCCTGTCTTAAGTAAATTCAACAAAAGTAGAGGCCATTTGCAGTCCTGTAAAGACATGCCTGATGCATTTGAAATGTGAGCTTGTGAAAGACTCCTGCAACCAAAACTTGAATCCAGTATCATTTCTTCAGAACAATTCTATCTGAACAGAGCTAGTGTCTTTTTTCTCTTACTTTGCTACGGCTAAGTGCACTACCCTTATAGTCTATTTTTCATCATTGACCAGGCACTCTTCGCAGTATTGGGTTGTAAATATAAAGAATTATTTGTTTTGTAAACTTTTGTAAAAAAAAAAAACCAAAAAACAAAAACCCAAAAGTAATAATATTTTGGTAGGAATAATAAAAATCATATTATTTGGGTTATATTTATACATATGTGAAATAAATATACTATCAAAAAGTTGTATTTTATACAAAAAGTCAACGGTTACCTTTTGTATTCTATATACAAAGTTTTGTATGATACGATTGTTTATTTTTATCTGCAGACTTCAACTTTGGATTTTGGGGGAGGGCAGAACGGGATCGTGGTTGAATAGCTGGGCCTGACCCCAAGCTCACTGAAACCAATGGAGTCTTTCCATTGCCTTCACAGGGCTTTGAATCAAGCCTTTAAATCACCTTCAGATATGTTTGACATCTGAAGCTCTCTGGAAACCTCAACATGAAAACATTCCAGGTTTCAAATTTTTTCCCTGAAAAAGGCTTTTATTATTATTACTGTTATTATTGTTATTATTATTATTGTAACTCTTGGGAGGCAGGTGGGACCTATGTAACTGTCATGTCCTTGTTGCATGTATGTCTGCTTTATATTTTCCCCATATTATAAACCAGTGTTTCTCTATACAGACTGAAAGAAAATGTTACTGTACAGAAATGTTTGTGTTTTTGCATTTTTACATGTGGCTGTATATACCTCCTAGTACTATGCAGTGACACTTATTTGACTCCATTTATTTTTCACCTAAACATGAATAGTATGTTTTTCAGTAGCTATCAAAACTCTGCCAAGTAAATCAATCAAAATTATCCCACGTCGTCTCTTTTCTTATTATGAATTTTATAATTAATTTCTGTTTAGTCAACTGCTCGTTCATCTGAGTAAATTAAAATTACAGTGATATTTTAGGAGGGGGTGAGAAAAATGTGCATCTGGCAGCTTCTGGGAGCTCAGTCTGCCTCTTTGCAAGAGAGCTGCGATGTTTTCCTACTGACGGAAGCCATGGTTTCAGTACCAGCAAGGGTTAACAAATAACACATGGTATTTTAGCTGCTGGTGAATGGGTTGGTGTAATCTTGCAGCACAGTAATTTGCTCTGGGTTTCTGCTGAAGCTAAAGCAGAGAGCTAGGTACCCCGAGAGCTAGGTACCCCAAGAGCTAGGTACCCTGAGAGGGCTTGCTGGGTGCCCAAGCCCGTGCCCTGCCCTGGATCATGCCTTGGAGATATCTGCCCCTCAGTCCCCCCTAGCAGGGACCCATAATGAGATGCCAGAAATCAGGCAACAGGGTTTCTCCTCCTCTTCTCCGTGCCTGCCTCGCATTGCGCCTCATTTTAGCCTAAAGAAATTCCAGCATGTACCAGATCACGGTGGGTCAGGGATTGTTTCACACAAGTGTTCATCCCCGCCAGGCTATTTTTAGCAGGCCAGCCCCGAGGAAGTGATTTCCCATTTCTGGAGAGGCATTCCTCATTAGCCGGACTCCATATCCAAGTGGGTGGCCCTTCCCACCCCATGAACTGAGTGGCAGGGGGTGGTGGAGCGGATGCTTGGAAGGGACACATGTCAGTGCAGTGCTGCCCGTACTTGAAGGCTGCGCTGTGCTATTTTCAGATGTAGCAAATGAAAAAAGGCTTCCCACACCTTAACTGCTCCACCGCTGTTGGTGATGCCAGGTTGGATGAGGCTTTGGGCAAGCTGGTGTAGTGGAGGGTTTCCCTGCCCATGGCAGGGGGGTTGGAACTAGATGATCTTTGAGGTCACTTCCAACCCAAACCATTCTATGATTCTATGATTTTATGATTCTATGCTCGGGGGCCTCTGCCCTTTTAGTCCCTCTCCTCTCACCTTCCCCCTCAGAGTAAGTGGAGAGACACCTTTCTTGGCTGTCCCCCTCAACCCCAGCTCTGCCAGCTGCTGTCTTCCTGTTTTTTTGCCAGCACTGCTCAGTCCCTTCATTATACCTGCCTGCCACCCACAAATGGTTGTTCCTACATCCTTCCCTGGCACCCGGGGGCTGCACAGGGAGGGACAAGCTGGCATGTGCCCTGCACCCCACCACCCTGGCTGTGCCCGTGCTCCTCGTCCTGGCTGAAGATGCTGAATTGAGGAGGTGCCCAGGAGGTGTGTGGCTCTCTCCTCGCTTCATATTCTCCAGCGCGGGT